TATGCGATTCCCCATTATTGCTGTTTTCTCTCTTCCTCAGATATTTTATAGTCTGATGAAGGAAGGGGTCATCCAGGTTTTGACCAGGCTTTCATGCTCTGCGTCATGAATCTCCATGCAGCTGCCTGTAATATACAACACTCTTTTCTCCCGTTTTCTCTATTCCTTAGGGATGGTGTCTGGCGGTTTTTGGACACCCGACAGTTCACCTCCGTGTGGTTTGCCTGGGGGATAAGATTCAACTTTGAATCTCCCTCTCTTACTGTACAGAAAGGAAGTTCCCAGTCAGCACTGGAACAGGAATCTGGGGCAGTGTCAGGCCCAGCTAGTTGAAACTTTTCTCCCAGCTGAGCTCTATGTAGGTGCTGCACTGCACACAGACACATATAAAATATAAATAGTATTTAAACAGATTAAAATATGTCAGAGGCAGACTACTTCAATAGCGCTATCTCAGCCATTTGCTAGGTCTTCTTTAGAACATGTGATATGCAACACTCTTTTCTCCCATTTTGTCTACAAACAGATTAAAGTATGCCAGAGGCAGACTACTTCAATAGTGCTATCTCAGCCATTTGCTAGGTCTTCTTTAGAACATGTGGTGGGGTGTAAACTTCAGGCACCTAAGGGCTGCATTGATTGAATTTCTCCACAGTCACAGAAAATTTGTTGATGCTCATGAAGTGGATAGGTTAGGTGCTATATTCTCTTACTTCATTCATTTGCTGGCACATCTTGATGGACTTCTGGAGGAAGAATGCCAGCCAAATAATAGACTTTTTCAGTGGGGGTAGGTTTCTGATTCATTGAAAACTACCCCCACTTATTTGGCATGTGCTGATTTATACTCTATGTGTGTGTTTAGTCGTTTAGTCGTGTCCGACTCTTCGTGACCCCATGGACCAGAGCACGCCAGGCCCTCCTGTCTTCTACTGCCTCCCGGAGTTGTGTCAGGTTCATGTTGGTTGCTTCGCAGACACTGTCCAGCCATCTCATCCTCGGTCGTCCCCTTCTCCTCTTGCCATCACACCTTCCTAACATCAAGGTTTTTTCCAAGGACTCTTTTCTTCTCATGAGATGGCCAAAGTACTGGAGCCTCAGCTTCAGGATCTGTCCTTCAAGTGAGCATTCAGGGTTGATTTCCTTTAGAACTGATAGGTTTGTTCTCATTGCAGTCCAGGGGATTCTCAAGAGCCGCCTTATGGGAAATGGTGTTTTGCTTAACGATGTTTTCACATAACAATGTTTTTAATGGAACCAATTAACATCGTTATGCGAGGCACCACTATAATAGACTTTTTCAGTGGGGGTAGGTTTCTGATTCATTGAAAACTACCCCCACTTATTTGGCATGTGCTCTAAAATACTCTATGGCACTAGTGTATTTTACTATGGAATAACACAGGGACAAAACTGTTGCTGCCTATTCTTTGTAGGTGTGCACCCCAGCCTGATCCAGCCAATTTCCTATACGTTATTTCTGGTGGCATCTTTCTGTTTGGTGTTTAGATAATATTTTTTGCAGGTCAGGGTTCAATCCAGATTGATGCCCAAGTGTTTTGGGGTAGGCCAGTGTTTCAAAATCTTGATGTCTCACCCAACTTGGAACTTCCTCTCTGCTTCTCTGTTCTTTAAGTGGGAAGCACAGACCTATGTTTTTGCAGGCTTTGGTTTCATCTGGTTGTTTTTATGCTATAAAGAAGGTTCTCCTCATGCAGATCTGCCTGTCAGGTGGAACTCCTGGAATGGAGAATTATAAAAACAAAAATCAGAAATCTCACCCCTAATTACTTATTTCTGAGGAATGGACCAAAGAGGAACAGTAGTGTTGTATATTATGGACATCTGCAAGGAGATCCATGACTCAGACCATGGAAGACTGGTTAAGACTTGGAGGATTCTTAGTACTGACTGTTTAATTGTATTTGCCTTCTTACATTAAAAGCTTAAGTTCTTCTTGTTCATTCCCAATGCTCTGCAGGTTGGTATGAAAGCCTCGGCCATCCCTTCTGGCCGCTTCCTTGTTTCCTTGCCTATTGAAGAGTTCCTGTATCACTCCCCAAGCTTCTGTGCACTTGTTTCCCAGTACATGGTGGCTACTCGTCTTCTGAAACATTTGTCTTCTTGAATAGTCCATTCCTCTTCATGTCTTTGGCAGCACTGTATTCCCAAAATAGCACAAATTTTGGCACAGTGTACAAAAAAGTCAGATTATGGAACCCATTGGGCTGAATTTGTTCTGTTTTTGCTTTGAATAAAATTCTGTTTTTCTTCTTTCCCAATCAGATGATGAGCAGATGGGTGGGAATTCTGGAGACCCTGCTTTGGAAAATGTTGAAAATCAAAGTGGAAGGGAAAGACGCCAAGGAAATCCATCATCTATTTCTCAAGGTGCTGTTGATCATGAAATCTTCACACCCTTTGAAAGCAACCAGGGAAAAAGAGACAGCATGTGTACTATTTACGGGAAAATATATGGGCATAGAAGACATCAGAGAAGCCACCTAGAAGAGACACCTCCACAGTACGAGAAGAGTATCGGTGAGAAAACCTTCCTCGCTCCATGTGAAAGAAACTGTGCCGGAGAAAAAACATTTAAATGCCAGGAGTGTGGAAAGAAATTTGCCTGGAGTTATGCTCTTAGCATACATCAGAGGATTCACACAGGAGAGAAGCCGTATAGCTGTATGGAATGTGGGAAAAGCTTCAGGCGGATTGATGGCCTTGCTTCTCATCAAAGAACACACACGGGGGAGAAACCTTATCAGTGCACGGACTGTGGGAAGAGTTTCAGTCGGAGCTGTCGGCTTAAGGTACACCGAAGGACACACACAGGGGAAAGACCTTACACCTGCACAGAATGTGGACGAAGCTTTAGTGTGAAGAGTTCATTTAACAAGCATAAAAGAATCCACACGGGAGAGAAACCCTATGAATGCAAGGAGTGCGGAAGGTGCTTCAGTCGGTGTTCAAGTCTCCGTTCCCATCACAGAACTCACACCGGGGAGAAACCTTATAAATGCACGGAGTGTGGGAAGAGCTTCAGTCAAAGCTGTCAACTCTCCGTCCACCGAAGAACGCACACAGGGGTGAAACCGTACAAATGCATGGAGTGTGGGAGGAGCTTCAGTGACAGAAGGACCCTCGGTTCCCACCAAAGAACTCACACCGGGGAGAAACCCTATAAATGCACAGAGTGTGGAAAAAGCTTCAGGCAGAAAGGAAGCTTCCATTATCATGTAAGAGTTCACGTGGAGGGGAAGCCCTACAAATGTATGATCTGCGGAAAGGGGTTTACTGTGAACAGCAGCCTGACTTTACATAAGAGGAGCCACACCGGGGAGAAGCCCTATAAATGCATGCAGTGCGGGAAGACCTTCCACAGGAAAGCTTACCTGGCGTCACACCAGAGGACTCACACAGGGGAAAAGCCCTATAAGTGCATGGAATGTGGAACGAGCTTCAGCCACAGCAGTAACCTCTTGTCTCACCAAAGGGCCCACCGAGGAGAGAAGCCGTATAAATGTACGCAGTGCCGGAAGAGTTTCAGCGCCAAGAGCAGCCTGACCTTGCACAAAAGGGTCCACGTCGCCGACAAACCCTACCAGTGCCCCGAGTGCGGAAAGAGCTTCAGCCAAATCAGTAAGCTGTTTGTTCACCAGAGAGTTCACACGGGGGCAAAGCTCTTCGAGTGCATGGAATGCGGGAAATGGGTTACCGACCTGATTGGGCACCAGAGGACCCACACGGGGGAGAAACCCTATAAATGCATGGAATGTGGGAAGAACTTTGCTTATAGCGGGACTCTGTCGAGGCATCACCGGACCCACACGGGGGAGAAACCTTACATCTGCCCAGAATGTGGGAAGAGGTTCAGTGGGAGAGGAGCTTTTAGGAGGCACAAATTAATCCACACCGGGGAAAGACCGTACGGATGCACGGAATGTGGGAAGAAGTTCTTTGACAGCGCGGCATGCAAGGCCCACCAAAGGACCCACACTGGGGAGAAGCCATATAAGTGTGTTGACTGTGGGAAGAGCTTCAGCGACCGTGGTGCCTGTAAGAGGCATCAAAAGACTCATACTGGGGTGAAGGAGCATCCGTGTACAGTCTGTGGAAAGAACTTCATTGATCTTTCTTCCCATCAGAGGATTCACACTGGGGAGAAACCCTATAAATGCATGGAATGTGGGAAGAGCTTCAATCACCGGGGCACGCTTACCAGTCATACAAGGATCCACACTGGGGAGAAACCTTACACGTGCACAGAATGTGGGAAGAGCTTCCATGAGAGGAGTTCATTTAATAAGCACAAACGGGTTCACACAGGGGAGAAACTGTATAAATGCATGGAATGTGGGAAAAGCTTTAGTGACGGTGGGTATCTGACGAAACATGCAAAATCCCACAGAGAGGAGAAACCCTATCAGTGTCTGGGACCTGGAAAGAGGTTCTGTGCTAAGGGACCTTTGATTCAGCCTCAGGAAACTCACCCGGGAGAGAATCAGAGGCCTGTAACTGCAGAAGATATGGAAAAGGCTTTGGTTACAGACGGAGACACGGTGGACCTCAAAGAAGCCACACAAGAAGGAAGCTCTAGAGAGACCTAAATGGGGAGACATTGATTAAAGAAGTCACACAGTAGAAACATGGTATTAATAGATGACACAGAAGCCAGAGGCCAGGAAATAAAACTATTAAAGCTGTCTATGTTCATGGAGCTGATAACATGTTCTGCAAAACATTTAGGCTCTTGAGTTGGATTTTTCTCCTGAGCAGACCTGTATAGCTGTCCTTCAGTCTGCTGGATCTGTCCCTATTGGCAATCAAGGAACTGGTGTTTTGCAAAACTAATGGCTCTTCAATGCCCACAGGAGACCAAACTCCCCTCAAATACTTCACAATACAACAGCGATCGCTTTTCCAACAATATTTCTGGCCTAGCTCCTATGACGGTTAGAGCTGAGCTCGGAGGGAGCAAATGATAAAGGATAAAAGGAGATGGTTGTTGTGAAGTTTTTTTGGGCTCTTTGGCCGTGTTCTGAAGGCTGTTCTTCCTAATGTTTCGCCAGTCTCTGTGGCCATGGGCATCTTCAGAGGACAGAAGTCAGAATTCTGTCTGATAAAAGAAGACTTTCTGGGATGCTCTGAGCTTCGTTCCAGTCCTCATACGAGTTAGGCCTGAAATATTGTTGAAAAAGTCGTTGCTGTTGCATTGTGGAGTATTTAAAGGGCGTTTGGCCTGAAGTTGACAATTAAGAGCCATAAGGTTTACAAAAGAACTGCTCCTTGGTTGCTGATGGTGACAGATCCAGCAGAATGAATTTTGGTTACTCAGCTTCTGAGGGGGGGGCTGGCTGGCTATCCAGTTTATCCATTTAACACTCCACCACTGCTTAGATGAGTTTAGCATGCAACCTCCACTCCGTGTAATCCCAATTGTGGGGTTTCCCCATTGCTCTCTTTGGGCACGCTCAGCAATTTGCCTGCCGGTTTCACCGTATCATACGTTGTCGGGAAACATCTTGCTTTATTAGATTATTATTATTTTTTTAAAATTGCCAAATTGGATGAGAAAGGAGAAGCCCTCCAGAGAGCTGGTCTTCAAGTGAGCTTAAACATTGGTCCATGAATCCCCTGATAGATTTCTTGGGCTTTGCTTGGCATCGTTAGAGGCATTATGAAAGTGACAGAGAAATAAACTTGCTTTTTAATCATCCTTGTCTGGCTCTGGAATAATCTAGAATAAGCGGGCCATCATTTTATTAGCCATAATCCTGTTGAAGTTCCTGTCGAATCTGGGGTACCAAAAATGTATTTTTTATTTTATTTTTATTCTTTTATGGCTCTTTTCACCCTGAGATTCCTCCTGTAGCTGTTTCTAATAATCAAATTAGTTTTGCCTTCCCATGGCAACTATTTGATGTCAGAAAGGTATACTTTTTTTCCACCTGGTACCAAGGAAGAGCCACAGGCAAGAATTTTGAGTTTTGAAGTGACTTTGCAGTTTAAAGGGAGAAAAGGAAAAAAAAAAGTGACCAAGGATTTTGACCAGTAACTAAACTGTGTAGAACCAGTTTCGGCTAGAATGAAGTGGTACGACGGTCGAGAAGAAACCCATTTTTCCTTCTCAATTTCCACCTTCTGTCTCGATGGCAAAATATTGCAGTCTTTATTCTTTCATTCCCATGGTATTGCTCCACGGCCACAGAAATTTTTTTGAGAACTTCTTGAACTCTCATCTGAAAACTGATTTATTGTTCTTGAAATGTTTGAGTTATAGTGGGATTAAAAAGTGGCAATTTCATTTTTAATGTTTTATTTTATATTGCATTCATTTGCCATTATCTAATCTAATCATCAAACTACCTTAGAACTGCAGAGCTGGAAGGGACCCTGGAGGTCATCCAGTCCAGCCCCGGCCAAGGAGACCGAGTGGGGGATTCAAACTCCAAACCTCTGGCTCCGGAGGCAGAGACGTACACCCCTGAGCGAGTCTGCAGTTCATAATAGTCAACTTTAGATATAGTTCATGACGTAATCATATTTATTATGTTTTTATGGACAGTTTTTATGAACATCCTTGCCTTTTCACCACCTTGTTCTTCCAATAAACTTTCAATTTTATATATGTATTTATTTGGTGCCATGGCTTCCCTTTACAGAGTCAGTCCCTTGCACATTCGGTCTTCCTCTTCTCCAGCTGCCTTCCCATTTCCCCCCCCCCAACATTATTCACCATTTCAGCCAGCTGTCCTACCACTGGGGGAGAGTTTGATTTGTTCAGTAGTGAGTTCAAATCCCCCACGGTGCCTTCCTGGAGAAGTGGCCTTGGGCAAATGGCACAGTCCCACAGCGCCCCCATGGGGAAGGAAATGGCAATACACTTCTGTGTATTCTGTTATCTGGAAATCCCTGAAAGGGGTCGCCATAAGTTGGGATCGACTGGATGGCATGCAATTATGATTAATATTATGTACAGGAAGAAGACGGAGACCGCTTCTGCTCAAGGAATCTTCCAAGGATTAAATGAACCAAGCTCTGTTTCCTAGAGGGAAAACATATGGCATGTTGTGGGAGGGGTGGGGTGGGGGAACAGAAAACGGCTTCTTTACATTTATCGGAAAGGAGACGAGACCAAGAATGGAAATGGCAGGACAGAGAGGCATATTGTAATTTTTTGGGGGGTGGAAAAACTGGTTGTCAAGGTACAACGCCCTGAGTAGTTCAGGAAAAAAAAAACTTTCTCAACTGTTAGAGCAGTACGACAATGGAATCAATTATTTGGGGAGGTGGTGAGCGTTCTGGTGTTGGAGGCCTTCAAGAGAAAAGTGGACAACCCAGCATCCGATCTGCTTTCATTTGGACTCCTACCTCGAATTGGGGGGGGCGGATTGGATGGCCTTCGAGGCCCCTCCCGACGCCATGCTTCTAGGATTTGATTAAAAGTGCTCCTACCGTTCAGATGCTTGTAAGATTTTTATGAAACTTTGTAAGGGGTCTAGGCATCCTTCAGTCTCGAAAGTGCTCTGTATGGAGGACTTGGAACAGCGTCTAGTTGTGGTTGAGAAGGCCACTTTGAGAGTGGCAATCTCTTTCACACTGAAGACAAATCCAATCGGTCCCCTGTCCAGCTCCCTGGTTTTGCTGCTTTTGTGACTTCCTCTTTGCCTCGGCCTCCCGGACAAGGGTCTCTTCAAATTGGGAGAGGCCGGGATGCACTGCCTGCCTCCAGGCTGAACACTCAGATGTCAAGGTTTCCCATCTGTTGAGGTCCATTCCTAAGGCCTTCAGATCCTGCTGGCAGATCTCCTTGGATCGCAGCTGTGGTCTCCCTCTGGGGCGATTTCCCTGCACTAATTCTCCATACAGGAGATCTTTTGGAATCCGACCATCAGCCATTCTCACGACGTGCCCAAGCCAATGTAGACATTGTTGTTTCAGTAATGTATATACGCTAAAAATTCCACCTCATTCTAGGTGGAATGAGGTGGGGAGGGGGGAATGAAGACACTCTGTACCTGGTCAGAGACACCCTTGCTGATTCACTCTGTAGCAGATGCAACAACAAGCAAGACAAAAGGAGTGCTTGATCACTCCAGGGTGCTACACGAATTTACAGCCAGCAGCCTGAATTTTAAAGAAACAAGGGCGGGCCAATTGGAACCGTTCACCAAAAACCTACACTGGACTGGCATCTCTTTTGCATTGCAAATGCTTCTCTCCACCCCTCACCCACTCCCAACTCCAACCACACATTCACATTAAAAAGAGAGAGCAAGAGATGTCCGTAGGTTATGCCATGACAATTGAGGGATTTATACTGTAAAACCACCATTAAATCTTCATCATCGTCTTAGAATGGCAGAGCTTGAAGGGACCTTATAGATTATCCAGTCCAGCCCTTGTCAAGGTTATTTTCAATAGAACTGTGTAAGGATAGGGTTAGGGTTAGGGTTAGGATAGGTGTGACACTCTGTGTAGAAATCCCTTTGGAAAACTGAACTGGCTTTAGAGATATATGGAAGAACAGCCAGAATCAGGGGGATTCTTGCATTTACAAGGCAATGACAAAGTGGAGCAAAGAGTCGGGAGACACTCGGGGGGGGGGCTCCAAACACACAAGGATCCTCCATGTGCAACATCTGGCATTCATGAAATTAAAAAGGTTTGCAAAGTCATAAAAGAGATTACAAGCATTAGGGAGAAAGCAACACACAGGCAGAATGTGAGCGGGCCCCACTGAAGAAGTGTTGCCTGCTCTTTATTTAGAAAAGAAACTTCCCCATTGTTCCCACTGGAAAATCATGGATGATCGGAAGTTGGTCTTCAAAGAAATAATGGAAATAATAAATTTAAATATGCTCCCAAATGCACTTTTACTGAGGGAACAATGGAAGTGGAAGAAGAAAGAACTGATTATGAACTTAGTTACAGCGGCTAAGTTAATAACAGCAAATGTTTAGAAAGTTGTGTGATCTCCAGCTAAATAAATGGTATAAAGAAGTGTGGAGTATAACTAAATTCACATGTGAAATTAAAGTAAGAAAAGGAATGTTCATTAAGAAGAAGTTTGGGGATATACAGGGAGAATTTATCGATTTAGTATTAATGAAGGGGAAGGGTTGTGTTACCTTCGCAAGAGTAGATGTATTTTTGGAAGGGGGAGGGGGCCCATAAAAGGAAAGGAAAGATGATCTGCATTGATGGACAACTTGATCTTTGACATTGACTTGTCCACCTGCCCCAAAAGAAAATAGTCAATCAATCAATCTTTATTTTGCGGTCTCCGACCCATTAAAATGCATACTTGTAAGGGTTAAAAATAAATGGAAGCAATTAAAACATTTCAAGACAGTTAAAAAGTATACATTAATAAAATAGATTACCCATACATTGTTTTTTATCTTAATATTATATACCATCAATCAATCTTTACTTGCGGTCTCTGACCCAATATAATGCATACATGTAATATTTAAAATAAATGGAAGCAATTAAAACATTTCAAGATACCTAAGACAGTATAAATTGATAAAATAAAGGATTATTTTTATGACAGGGTTAGGTAGAGGTCAAGATAGCTTTTTGTATTCTGTGGGCAGAGAGAAGGAATTTGGCCACTGATTCGGTGGTTGTCTTCTTTGTGTTGCTTAATAAATATTTTGTATGCCAAATCAGAGTCCTAACTGAGAAGACTTTCATTATGGGCTTGAGGAATTTGATACGCTCAATTCTGTAAAAATTACACTCAAAAAGGACGTGCTTCAAACTTTCAATTTCTCTATCGTTACAAGGACACAATCTTTTTTCGTAAGGGGTGCCAGAATATCGCCCATCTAAAATTGCGGATTGGAGACAGTTAAAACGGGCTCTTGAGAAAATGTGCCTGTATTTTGTTGTTGTTGTTAAGTCATGTCCGACTCTTCGTCTAATCAAATTAGACCCGATTTCCCTGATAGGCAACAGCAGGTGAATTGCGCTGTGGGAAACCAGGTTTAGAATTTCTTCTACCTCCAAGTCAACATCCACATCATGGGGCTTCCCCTTTAAGTCTAGGCAAGGCCACACAACCACAGAAACGGGCTCCGTGGTTTTGTGGCCCAACGTGCTATCTGTGGCTTATCAGAAGGACATCTGCTCATCTTCCTGGAGCCTCGGAACTGATGTTGGCAAGCAATCTGGTGTACTTGAGATCTACAAACGGGGCAAGTTTTTTAACTGCCCCAATCAGGACTTGGCAGAGCAACGGCCATAGGAAGAGAAATGTAGAAATGGATGGAAATTCATCCACTGCCTGTACCTAGACTCCTAGAATGATGGAGTTGAAAGAGACCTCTAAGGCCACCGGGTCCCACTGACCCCTGCTCAAGGCAGGAAAAAAAAAGCAAAAAGCATGCTGCTTATACCCCCTGCTTAAGGCAGGGAAAAAAAGCAAAAAGCATGCTGCTTATATACCGCCCCACGGCACTTCAAGCACTCTTTGGCAGTTTACAAGTTAATTTTGCAGGCTACGCATTGCCCTCTTCCTCCCTGAGAGCTGGGTCCTCATTTGACCAACCATGGAAGGATGGAAGGCTGAGTGAACCTTGAGCCGGCTACCTGGGATTGAACCTTGAGTCTTGAGCAGAGTCTTAGCCGCAGTGCTGCAGTTTAACCAATGTGCCACAAGGCTCCTGAATACAAATCAAAGGGTATCTTCCAGGTGGTTGTCATATTCTGTTGGATTTGTTGGCCTTGGGGAAGCCTTGCCAAAGGTTGATGTCTTTGTTTATTTTTCCCCCTGGATTGGTCAAGGGAGCTGTGTGGCATTCTCATTCGGAGGGATCCCTCCATCCCCAAGCAAGGAGTGGCCCTCCAGCTATCTTGTTGAACAAGATCCACACCAATCATTTTTTTCCCCTTTAAAGGGAAATCCTGGCTCGACAGCTCAGGGGTTCAGGTCTCTGCCTGTGGAATCAGAGGTCGGGAGTTTGAATCCCCCACTGGGCCACCTTGACAGGGGCTGGACTAGATGACCCGTAGGGTCCCTTCCAGCTCCTGCAGTTCTAAGATGATGGTGGTTTATGATTAAATAAAAAACCCAAACCAACGCTGGGGTGGCTCCTGCTTGCTTGCCTGCAGGAGGGGAAAGGAAGAGGATATAAGCCAGTTAGCCAGGTTTCTCTGTACCTGTGTGCGCCTCTACACACCACACAACCACACACCGCAGCCACTCATGATCCCTTTGAGGAAGGGAAGGAGGCCTTTCTCCCCCTGATGCCATTTCCTTTGAAACTCTGGGGGGAGGAGGGGGTTCGATCCAGCTGCTCGCTCTCGCTCGTCTCCCCATCGGGCACACAGACCCATTGCTGATCTGGCACAACACGTCTCTCTTGGAATCTATTATTTTTAAAAAGAAAACATTCGGAAAAGAACCAGTCCTTCCAAGAACCCATTGGAGGTATTTAACAGGCTCCCACCTTGAGTTCCCACCCGTGAAGAAAACTAATTCACACAATCATGAACGGCTTGTCATTTTTAAAAAAAAGAAATTGCACAATTTAGGATGGATAAGAAGAGGGCGTGCTTTAAATGTCCTGCTCAGGGTGC